TTACGCATTTACCACACAATTTCTCAACTACACCATTAGCTTGCATAAGAAATATTGCATTTTTATGAAAAAATCACTTAAATGACGATCTAAATTTAATTTAACTTGTTTCTGGATATTGATCAAGGTTTTAAGCATAGATGTTTTAAGTATGTCATCTGCTGGTTCGAGATAAACCTACAATTAATGTAGTTTAAGAAAGAAATAGTTTTGACCAGCAGAGGCAATAGAGAGCCAATCTTTTTATGTGGCCAACTGCTGGTATCACAACTTTTGTGATAGATTTTGTGAATTATTTTATATATATATATATATATATATATATATATAATTAGCAGTAATATCATCACTCGCGAAAAGTCCTCTCCCCCTCTCACTCTCTGGAGTGATGATATTACTGTGCCGAGTCGTGCTGTGGTATTCCCCCATACAATATAGTTATCCACTTTACACGCTTAGAAAAGCGCAACGTTTTATTTTGTCACCGTCCTAGGTGAAGTTACACTACTCATGTTACTGTATTTAAATAGGGAAAACGTGGAGGTGTTTGGTCACTTTTCTGCTTGGCCCCTATTGAATGAACTGGGCTAGTTAAGTGTGTTCAAAGTGTCTCGCGCCCCAGAGCGATTGAGTGCATGCACTGAGACGAGAGAGGTATGTATTTTATAAATACAAATGTAAATTTTTCAAAATTCCTTCATGGTTTTTGGTTTTAAGGAGGAGTTCAAAGCATATTTGGAGACAGTGAGAAGAATGAAAAGCCCTAAAGCAGTGTATTTGTACTCCTTATTGGAAGATTTTGGTTTTATAATTTGAAAAACTTCCAAGCAATGCGGATGGAAATCCAAGGTTTGCCCAGTGGAATGTGGCTGCAGAGGTTTTGTGGGCAAGTCAACTATCAGGCTGCTTAAGGAACTGGGAGTGCGAGGCCAAACCCTATGGCAAACCATCAAAGCCCTCTCAGTTGCAGCAGAAGAAGCAAGCAAATGGATATGGGTGAAAAGGGGAGACCTCCAACTGGGCCCCTAATACCACCTGTGGCATGTAAGGGTTAAAAGCAGAGGGGGGCACACCTGGGACGCAAGATGCTGCCAAAGAGCCCTCTGGAGGTGTCGTGGGCCTATCATTGAAACACCAGAGAAGGGGGGTGCCCACCTGCTGATCCCAATTAAAACCCCCATTCTTATCCCACTAATAAACCATTACTACAGTGACAGTGATGAAATTACTCTGATGGATGCATTGTTACCACTCAGACCTAAAACCAGTCACCAATACAGAGAGGAAACCACTCCGATAGATGCATCATACCTCAGGTCTTAAACAGGGGATTGTTTCACCTAGTCCTAAAAGACAATTGATCGTCTGGATCTACCCAGTGACTGCTGTGAAGAAAGCAGCTGGCAACTAGGGAAAGACCTGGTGACAGACTGGAAAGACAGCTGCCAGGAGGGAAAGACACCAACAGGCCTGCCCCAGGTTAGCTCACTGTGGTACAGTAGGAGGGACCTGGCACTATTTAGCCCCTTTCACACAGAGGTTCCGTAAAATACACGGATAATGTGACCCGGCATTTGTCCCGGGATAGTTTGATTTCGGTTCATTCACACTGCCAGTGATTTGCCGGGATCTGTGAGTGACTCAACTTCAGTGCGGATAGTAAGGAGCGCGTTCCAGGACTGATCCCAGCAATCTTACTAGGTCCCCAACCCGGCATCAGTCCCAGTATCAATCCCGGGTCGTGTTTGCGTTCACACAGAAGCCGTTCTGGCAATTTCCCGGCAATTTCCCGGGATCAACGCGCCATGTAAAAGGGGCTTTAGTGTAGGCTACAGGTCCCACCCATCTCTGGTTACAAAAAGTTAAAGGAACAAAGTCACAGAGTCACCGAGAGCGGGGGAGGATGATGACTCACCGACAGACTACATGGTTACTGACCCAGGTATGAAACAGACAACAAGAATGATGATCAATAAGACACCTGAGATGACAACATCTATAAGACGCCATTGAGATGACAACACCTACTCCAGGAATTAAGCTCCAGAGTTGTAGATGTGGCTGGACCAAGGAAACATCCTATGCAGGCCTGAGAAGACACCAAGGCTTGAAAAAGTGCTTGCTGTCAACGCAACAGGGAACTCACATTGACCGTTACTTACGTAGCAGATTGAATAAGTGAAGTTCAGCAGCAGGACCAAAACCAAAGTCTGCAGAACATCAATCCCCCTGTTCGAGAGGAAGGAGACAAGCATAGTTGTGCCTCTCAAGCCCAACTTGCCGCAGCCTACAACTGAGAATAAGATTCAGAGGCGAAAAACACAGGTCAAGTGGCCAAAATCCTGTGAGAAAAAGGAGTGGGAGACGATTGACACAGACATCAGTAACCTCTGGGGACAACTGAGGGGATCTGCAGTCAAGAAGCTGGAGCGAATGGGAGACCTGATTTACAACTATGGTACACAGTGCTTTGGGATGGCAGAAAAGAGGAAAAAACCATCACCCACCCCGACGAAGTTCAGAAGACAGCAGTAGGTAGAACGATTAGTCAAGGAAAGAAGTCAGCTGAAAAAACAATGGTGAAAAGCTCCAGAGGAGAAGGAGGGAATTAACCTGCTACAGGCAGAAATTAAGAACTGATTGGCAACCTTGAGGAGAGCTGAGAATCTGAGGAGGAGGCGTAAAATGAAGGAGCAAGCGAGATCTTGCAAAAAACCTTTTCACAAAGGAAAAAAGTGGCTAACTCAAAGCATCAAAGAAAGATATGGAAACTTGCCTAAAACAGAGCCACACTGACGGCCAGTGAGGCAGAGAGACAATTCTTCCACCCGATATGCCACCGATACATTCCTCAGACCATAAACTGGACATCCAACAAGAATTGTACGCCGGGCAAGAGCTGCATCCTCCCCTGGACCCAATGGAGTCACATACCGGCTGTATAAGAAAACACCAGGGGTATTGCGCTGTTTATGGAGGCTAATGAAAGTAGTGTGGCAGAAACAAGTAATTCCAACAGCATGGAGGAGGGCAAGAGGCATCCTAATCCTGAAGGAAAAGGACTCTGTGGACATCAGCCAGTTCCGCCAAATCAGCCTCTTGAACATTGAAGGTAAAATCTTCTTCAGTGTAGTGGCTAACAGACTAACAGCCTACCTGGGAAAAAACCACTACATAGATACCATGGTGCAGAAAGCTGGGATTCCAGGCTTCTCTGGTTGCTTAGAGCACACAAACATGATATGGAATCAAATCCAAACCACCAAAAAGAATGGAAGAGATCTCCATGTTGTGCTCTTGGATCTTGTCAAATCCTATTTTCAAGACTCGCAGCTATGCTTAACTACTAATGAGTATACCACAGAATGGAAACGTTTAGAAATCGTAATAATGGCAGGATGCACCATCTCACCTTTAGCATTCAAGGTGGCTATGGAGGTCATCATTCGCGCATCCGGTGGCTAGTAGGAGGTCAGCTCAAATCTGGTCTTCGTCTCCCTCCCATCAGGGTCTATAAGGACAATATCACCATTCTCACCACAACCAAGGCTTGTGCTAGGCTCCTGCTGAACAAGCTACAGGAGAACATCCAGTGGGCTCGGATGGAAATAAAGCCAGGCAAGTCCAGGAGTATTTCAGTCGTCAAGGGAAAGCTGTCGGAACAGCGGTTTTATGTGGGCAAGGAGCCTATACCAACAGTGGCAGAGAAGCCAGTCAAGAGTCTTGGACGTTGCCCTCTAGTACCATGCCACCCTCAAGGACACAGAGCAGGTAGACCAGCTTACCATGCACGTCCTTGAGAGTTTTGGCAAGACCATGCTCCCTGGCAGGCAAAAGCTGTGGTGCCTTCAATTTGGGCTACTAGGATGATGTGGCCTCTTACCATCTTTGAGGTCTCAATCTCAAAGTTAGAAAAGCTGGAGAGAGTGATCAGCTCATTTGCCAAAATGGGGCTGCCCAGATGCTTTACTATAGGACTGTGTGGAAGAGGCATTTTGGAGATTCCTGTTTCCAGCATGGTTGAAGAGTTCAAGTGCTCTAAAGTAAGGCTGGAAATGACACTAACAGAGTCCATGATCCATGAGTTTCCCAAACAGATCCTACCCTGAACATAACTAGTAAGGGAGTAGTAAAAATATAACTACTCCCCTACTTTATTTATTTATTTGTTTTTATTTGTAGTATTATTACTATTATGTTTTGATGGTTCTTGGCTTAAAGTTAATTAGCCCACTGATGGGAATGTAATCTATATTGTGTTGTAATATGTGTATGTAGGCCTAGTGTTGGCTCTACAATTTGAATCCAAAATGAATCAGATTCAGTTCGCGCCATGTAAATCGCGTGTAAACCCTGTGATTGGTTGTAGCAAGAACGTTCTACGATTAATCAGCTCAACCTGGCCGTTATCTGATTGGCTTATGGAAACGGTAGGTGGAATCCACTTATTTGTGGATTTGTCTACACCTCGACGCTAGGAGTGTTATATAATCTCAGATTTACAAATGCACAAGAACCGATTCACAAATGCGTGAGGGGATTTACAAATACACAGAAAGCGGTTCACAAATAAATGACAGGCTGTGTTTGTGGCATAAAAAAACATGACCGAATATATATACATAGCAAACATTATATTGATTTGTGTATTTTATAAAAGTCAGATAAAAGTGGCTCCGTTCAAAACTTAGTGTGCACCACTTTATACTGCCCATCTGTGGTCTGATAAAAAAAAAAAAAAAATCCAGCATGCAGTTGCCTACTATGATGCAATGAGAATTTTACTCAAGGTTCCTAGAGGAGGAAGTTTATGCAAGGTCTGGATGAGTCTACCAACAAGTATCATGGTGGCACTCTCATTCTCATATATATATATATAAATAATAGTAATTAAATTAAAAGAATGAAACCTGAAATTAGTATAAATTTAAAAAATGCTCAAAATATTAATAAATACCAAGAGTACAATTGGGGGATACAATAAGACAAACCAATATAAAAACTGTTTTAAGTGATATTTATATGGACAATCCAGTGCACTTTCATTTGCCAATGATTTATGCTGTTATTTTGAAATAATTTGAAGAAAAAAAAATCAACAACTTCCTCAAATAAGATGCTGTTTGATGGTTTTTTTTAAATGCATAAGAAAAAAAGCATCTTCAAAGACCATTCCATTAAAAGTCAAATGTTGTAAAAGCCTTTTACTACTGTTTACATAAGAAAATCAAGACATTACCAAAAATATTCAATGAACAGAGAATGAGATGGAAACACATTATGAACTGACCGAGTCAACATGAAAACACACAACAGGCCTATTCGTTTTCTACCATGAGTCTTACAGTGTTTGTTACCACACATCTCGATGTTCTCACCACAATGAACATGATAAGGCTAGATCTGAACTAAACAACAGCATACAAACTGGTTTTAAATCGAACACACCAATAGAAAAGTGTTTGCAGCATGTTGCTGCACGGCAGTGATTAAGTCCTTAATTTGACAGAGAAAGAGAGGGAGAAATAAGTGATTAACTTTGGTTTGGATTGACAAAAAGACCTCATAAAACCAGTTCAACACAACTATCAGTTCTTCCACGGCATCCCAGCTCAATCTGATCTTCTATAACAGAAGCTAAAAGACTATAATGAGGAAATTACCTTCACAAGCAAATTAACTAGACACTAAATAGTCCTTAAATGGGAAACATTCGGAAATCTGTCATGATTATAGACACTTACGGCACATCATTTTAAACCTACTGATTTCAGATATTAGCGTTTGTAGCACTAAAGATGTTCCTAGTACTATTTTAATAAATCAAGCCTGGTAGTGTGCAGTACGAAGCAATAAGCAACAAAAATATTCAAAATAATATTGTACAGAGATAATCTAGTTGATGTGCAGAAGGAACAATGATGTATATTCAGCCCTGGAGATAAAGAAAATACCAGTTTTGTCTATAGAATAACCACCTGATCAGCCACAAACTACAAAAATGCTACATATCGCTTCTTAACAGAGAAGCATGCAGAGTCTTTCAAACCAATTGACAACCAGACGGACAGATCGACAACGGATCATACTTCCAAGAGTTTTATTATCAAAAGTGGCCTATTATACTGAGAAAAAAAAAAAAAAAAAAAGACATCACACGTACAGAAACAGAAAAGGTGCCACATTGGACAAATGTCATCACCATCTAATCGTTTGGTGATATGTATGGAAGAGACCCAGTAAGTGTAAGAACAAAACAGACAAAAACAAGATCTAATACCAGGAGATATGAACTGCAAAAAGCTACAAAATGGGAGGGAGATGTGGTGAGCTGGCCAACAGAGAAGACAAGTGACTTCTGAGAAGGGATACAATTCAATTGAGGAATAAAAAGAGATAAAAACAAGGTAAGTGAACGTCTTCATTTGAATTATCCAGCAATTATGAACAAATCTCCGCATTTGGTTGGGCATCAATAGTTCTTTCATCTTCTCTGATGGTCAACAATCACGATTTTACATCATTTGTTTCAGTGTACAATTAAAAAATAGTAACAATTTTATTAACAGAATAAGTATAATCAGTATAACAGAATATCTCCCGCTAATAATCTTAAAATACAAACAAAAGCAGAAACCCTCCCATAATTGCTCACAAATCATCTTTTAATTTAAGCCTCAAAACAAAAGAAAAACAAAAACAAAAAAACACAACATTCACCTTTTGGCTTTTTTTAAGCATAAACAGAAAAAAAAACTGTTCCCCCTGTCATCTCTGCCTCAATTTCTCTCTTTTTATACGAGTTGTTATCGCAAAGCTGGACTCCGTTCCATTTCTCTTCGCTCTCTTCCTCTACCAGAAGTCTCGGCGGTGGTAGGCATCTGGATCGCAGTACTTGGTCACCACCACTCTGTTGGCGAACTTTCTCCCCGTTAAGCCCTGCATGGCTTTCTGGGAGTCGTAGACGGATGTGAACTCCACAAAGATCTGGAAAAATATAACAGATTGTGGGATGGGTTTGTGTAGCACTACCAGATGTTCATTGCTGGAGGGTTCAGAGTCAAAATGCTTTAACCAGCACCTACGCCCATGGTCCCCATGCATCACTTGAGCTGGTTCGGTATGGCTTACCTTGCCGGTTCCAGGGATATCAAGGCCATCAACAGGCCGAGGAATCTCTATGCTCTTGACCTGGCCATATTTGGAGCACTCCTCCTTGACGTCCTCCACTATTTCCTCGTACTCCTCGTCGTCCAGGAGCTCCTCTGGAGCCACCATGTTCATCAGGCACAGGACTTCGGTAGGGATGCCGCCCATCTGCATCATGGAGTTTGCCATCATCCCCGGTACTTGCAACGTCACCGGAGTCTCATTTATACTCGTCTACAGAAAAATAAAAAGATGGCTTGAGAATCAATTCATCCAATTTAAAATAACAAACTTGTGCATCAGTGCTGCATATATTTTGACAATTTCTTTTTTTTTTTTTTGGAACATGACACTAACAGAGTGACACTACCATTCAAATGTTTGGGGTCCGATTTTATTCATTTTTTTGTTTTTTGAAGAAAAGTAATACTTCTATTCAGAAAGATTCAATTAATCAGAAGTGACAGAAATTATTTGTAAAATATCTTTACTATTTAAAATTAATGCTATACTATATTCATAAAAATTATCACAGTTTGGACAAAAATATTAAGCAGCTGTTATCAACATTGATAATAAATATTAAGCTACTGTTTTCAACATTGATACTAAATGTTTGAGTAGCAAATCAGCTTTTTTCAGCTAATTTCTGAAGGATTATGTGAAACCTGAAACTTGAGTAATGATGCTGGAAATTCACAGGAATAGATAACGATTTGAAATGGAAAACAGGCCATTTAAAAATAGAATACTTAGAATACAAAATAAAAAATATTTCACAATATTAGTAGGGCTGGACCCGAATATTCGAATATTCGTTCGGCGGGTTGGTATTCGATTTGAAAATTCGTTTTGTTTTTTGGACACTTGGTATCCCACTCGAAGCGGTTCTCATTCGTGCTATAAGACTATAACATCTGGTGAAATATAATACTTAACATATAACTTCGTTATAGCTACTTAAAAAAATATATTTGCTTCTTCTTGGACTATTAAAAGTTTTACTGCAACGGGAGTATTCTACGGCTAGAGTGCAGAACAGCGGAGTTTGTATGGACAGAAGTGCATGCCTGAGCTTGTATTTTGAGCTGCGTTGCTTTGACGTTGTGGAAAATAGAATAGAAACAAAATGAATTATCCTTTTTACCCATTATTATCAATCTAAATTAATCTACAGCGAGACTTGAAATTTTACTGGGACGTCACGTCGCAATTTCGTTTTATTTAATTTAAATTTCGTTTTCTATATTTAATTTATTTGTTTTTTTTATAATTATTATCATTTTTATTTAAATTTAGTTTTTATTCATTTAAATTTCGTTATGTTTTATGTAAGTTTCTTTTTTTATTTATTTAAATTTCATTTTATTTATTTAACCTTCATTTTTATTTATTTAAATTTAGTTTTTATTTATTTAAATCAACCATACTTTGCCAATGAGAAGACTATACCTCATTAAAAAATATTGCTTAAGTTAAAAGACCTTTGTGTGTGTGTGTGTGTGTGTTTTATATCACTAGTGCAGTGTCCGTTTTAGGAGCATATAATTCCTGCTCGCGTGAGGCATGCCGCTTCCCGCTCGCGCTGTAGTTTATTAAAAGTTGATTAATTCTGAACGTGTCGCATCTCGCCTTTCTATACATACTGCACCAAATACGACACTGCACTTCCTTTTGAAGTCGTTTGGATGAATGGTTCTCGAAATAATCAAAATGTAAATGGACAGACAGATATATAGAGATTCCAAAGCTTCGAATATTTGATGTTCATTACTACCAAAGCTTCAAAGCTCAAAAAATGGTATTCGGACCAGCCCTAAATATTAAACAAACCCAAATTTTGTACAGTAGTGTAACAAGACAAAACACATAGAATGTTTAACCCCCAGGTCTTATTTGTATAAAATGTCTTCAAATTAGTGAATTTAATGTTAAACTTGAGTCTTACCATTGTGGCATTCTTGGCCCCAACACTTGCCCTCTGAACCAGCAGCTTCTTATCCGCTAACTGCATACCATTCAATCCCGCAATAGCCTGAAATAAACATTAACTTACTTAATCTTAGTATATGGGCTGCATGTGTTAAAACCCATTGGACTCAATGAAACACTAACCATGCCAACTCACCTGATCATTGATGTTAACATCCACATATTCACAGAAAGCATAGCCCTTTGAGAGGCCGGTAGCGCTGTCCTTAACCAAATTGAAGGCTTTGAGAGGTCCAAAAGAGGTTAACAACTCTTTAACCTGAATACACGGAGAAAGAAATTCAGGATTTACATTACATCTAACATAAGCAGGAAAAAGGTAAAACAAACAAACAAATACAAACATTACATTTTAAACATTTAAAGTCCCCCTGTGGTAAAAATCAAGTTTTTAATGTTGTTTATATGCCTATGTGGTGTTTTTAATATGATTTAAGACAAATCATGTGCAAATTCATAAATCAACAAAATTTCAGAGTATTTTCTTTTTAAAACCGCAGTGAACCAAAGACAGTTTCAAACGCGGTATGAAATCACTGGTGTTTCTGACGTCACAAACTACCTTGTAACCAATCACGACAACGTGTGATCGTCAACGAGTGGATCTCTAAGTAGGTGTGAGTGAGTAAAGGCGGGGCTAATTTGCATTTTCATAAAAGTGCGTATACTAAATGAAGCAAGGGTGTAGAGTTACATTTAAGCTATTCTAATGGCATGAATAAACTTTTTTATTGAAAATTTTAAATGTGTAATGTTAGTGATCAAAAATGTATTTTAAGGGATCAAATTATTGACTACAGGGGGACTTTAATTTCCCCCGAGATCCACTCATAATGTTATTAAAGTTTTTTGTGCCAAAAACATTTCAGCTATTCCCTGACCAATTTCCACCTTTTTTGCTGTGAGTTTGCTCGTGTGTCAAATATGCATATATTACCTGGTGTTCAAACAATCTGTCCTGAAATAGAAATAATCAAGGACCTTTTAAAAAAATCAACTTCAACTGCTCATTGCTCATGTTGGGAAGGATATGCAGAGAATGAAGAGCCACATGCAGCCAAGACAAGCACAAAGCTGGGCAAACCTTACAATATATTATTGTTAGCCGTTATAGTGTTTATGAATAATACAATCTGTCCTACTAGCTCATTATTTCACTATGACTTTCTCATTATTTTGTGCAGTTTAGTTTCAATAAATGTTGCTCTTTTTTGTTAGTTCCAGTAAAAGGAAGCAGTATGTTTTCATGGCACATGAGGCTCTTATGAGTTAAAGGGTTAGTTCACCCAAAAATGATAAATCTGTCAGTAATTTCTCACCCTCATGTTGTTCCAACCCCGTAAGACTTTCGTTCATCTTCGAAACACAAATTAAGATATTTTTCATTAAATCTGAGAGCTGGATCACTCCTCCATAGGCTTCTTAAGGGATCGAAACTGGCCGGCCCAAAAAGTTATGAAAGACATCGTTAAAATAGTTTGAGTGACTACAGTGGCTCAATCTTAAGTTTATCAAGCGACGAGAACACTTTTCGTGCGCAAAAAAAATAAAAAAATAAAAATTTCCTTCTCTGTGGGCCTCGAGATTTCACGCAGTGTAAATGCGCAAAGCTTATGTTTTGTACGTCACACATGACCAGCATCGGCCAATAGTGAGCCTACGTATAATGTGCAAACAAGAAGCTTTGAGTAGTTTCACTACGTGAAACGTCGAGGCCCACAGAGAAGGAAATGAATAGTTGAATAAAGTTATTCATTGAATAAAAGTTATCATTTTTGTTTGTTTTTTTGCACACAAAAACTATTCTCATCGCTTGATAAACTTAAGATTGAGCCACTGTAGTCACTTGGACTATTTTAACGATGTCTTTCATAAATTTTTGGGCCGGCCAGTTTCGATCCCTTAAGAAGCCTATGGAGGAGTGATCCAGCTCTCAGATTTAATCAAAAATACCTTAATTTGTGTTCCGAAGATGAACGAAGGTCTTACGGGTTTGGAACAACATGAGGGTGAGTAATTACTGACAGAATTTTTATTTTTGGGTGAACTATCCCTTTAAATAGACTTTCTACCAAAAGCCAACTGTAACCAACCTGGTCGTCGTTGAGATAGTTGGGCAAACCTCCAATGAAAAGCTTGTGAATAGAGTCTGGTACAACAGTGGACACCACACCTGTGGAGCAGATGGAGAACATTCATTAACAGTCAATTGACTGGCAGAAGAAAAGGAAGAGAATAATAGACCGATAGACTATAATTAGTAGGTTGTAACAGACTCATTTTTCACTCAAGGTTTAAACCAAATACATTCACCTGAGAACCGAGAACGTAATACAAATGTATGCTGAAATCAGCCATTTGTAATTAAAAGTACAAAAGGAACATGTCATGTTGTAGTTTGATATCTCTGAGTAAAGAGCAAACTGTAAAGTGGTCATACCCGGCACATATACGCTGGGGTTCTCGCTCATGCCAGGTAATGGCTGATAATCATGTGGCCGGCGAATCTTTAAACTCTGCCCCTGGAAGATGATGCCATCAAACGCCATGGCCTGTGTGGTCTCATCCACTGATCGGAACTGAAGAATTAATAGGAGGAAAATTGTAAAGAACCAAGCTTGCTAATTCATAGGTAATATAAGTCAGTGTACAGGTGTTACCTACCTCAAGGAAAGCAAAGTTCTTGTCCTGGTTAATCTGGACGGCAAGAACAGGGTTTCCTGGGGCCTGAGTCAGACCACCAAGTCTCATCTGGGCATTGAAGAAGTCCATCATGGATTCCTGAGGAAGAAAAGAAGTTACATAATGCAAAGATAATCATGCATTTAGAAAAAAAAATGATGTACAGATAATAAGATGGAGGGTTTTTTATGTTATGTACAATAACCTATAAAATGGCAGAAATTTAAGTGTATACTTCTATGTTTTTTCTAAATTAATAAAAAAAATCACTAACAATTCCTTTTAAATGCCATGAGTGAATTTAAGCAGCGCATTATACAGTATGAAATTGTTTAGATTCATTCTAAGTTTTGTTAAAGATTGTATTTAAAAATGTTATTCATTTATTTGTCTTTCAAGATGCAATAAGTGATTTCTGAGAAACGCTGTTGAAAGTGAATCGGACCAAATGTCACAACACACTGTTGTGTCCAAGAGTGAGATTTGAAGAAAGACTGTAGAAAGGGAAAAGGCTGAGAGACATTACAAAAGATAAAAGCACAGGGGACTATCACAGGAAAAAGAAGGGTCATGATAAGGCAAGAGCTTTAGGAACCGTGTTAATATTAGAAAAGCTTTCCAGCACTGGAGAAAACGAAGCGGGAAGGCCTAAAAAAAGGGACGCAGAGGTTGCGTTTATGTTTCACAGAAGATATGGTGTTGTTGTAATGTTACCAATAGTAACAGGACGTTGAGTGTCATTGTTTGTCTGAAGCTGCTGGCGACAAACAACCAAATCTTGCTTGTAAATACTCTTTTTTTTTTTTATTCTTCCTTGTTGTTTGTGTCATCTTCACTGTTTTTTGTTTTTTCCAGGGAAGCATTATTATGTTTCTCTTCAGCTATGATACATTATGATCCACTTTTGCATTGTGTTTGTGGATTTTGGCGGCAGAGCAAAGAAGAGAGGGGTGAGTTTGTTTGTGTTGATTTTACATATCAACAGTTTCTCAGAAATGTCAAAATAGGGGAAGCAAGCGTGTACAATTAAATATGCAATATGCTTCTGCAGAATACATCTACTTGTGCCAGTGTTCTGTGTGTAATTGTTCTCTAAAGCCCTGCAGAGTAATTCTAGTGTGTGAATAGTGTTCATTCAACACCTCTGTGATGCCAAATGGGATATTGCCAACGTAAAGTCTGCGGGCCTGGCGAGTCATCTGACTGCCCACTACGGGCACCGGGGTCGGCGTTACTGCCAGGCCGTCTGGCGTCATGGTGGGCAGCAAAGCGGTGGCAGGGATCTGACCAGCAGCTGAGGAAGAGAAAGACAGAATAATTTCATCAACAACAGAATATGCATTTATTAAATCACATTACGTTGTTATTATCAGGAGATGTCTGAAAACGCCTGAAACAAAAAATAAAAATAAAATAAAACCAAAGAAAGAGAGGGAGAGAATAAATAAGACTTGATTGGGGTGGGTACAATATGAGCAAAAAATATAAAATATTTAGTTGATACTATACCAAAAGTATATAGTGGCAAAAGAAAAAGTACAAAAGAAAAGTGATGTACAGCGTAGGAAAACATATCTTCCCCCTTTATTTATTAAGAATTTGTTAAATATTTTGTAATCATATTACATAGCTGGGCTTGGAGTCAAATTGTTTTATTTGTAACGCAATGAAACATGACAAATGGCCAGGCTTTGAAAGAAATTATGAACATGCTAAAACAAACGAGAACCAACACATTTTTTTTTCTTATTTTGTTATCAATATATGCTTTTATCTGTGATCTTTTTGTTTTTCCATGCAAAAAATAAAACATGTAGCTGTAGTTTGCATTTTTTGACAAATAATTGTGTAAGATATATACCTTAACCAAGTTTAGTGTATTTTTTAGATTTCAAAATACATGTATACACATATATATATATATTATTTTCCCCTCATATTATAATCATTTAATCAAACTTGTAGGGTCAACAAATATCTCCTCTGTACATCACTTTTGACTGTCGCCTTGCTTTTGGCTTGCTTAATTGGGGTTATTTAATATTTAATATTTAACAATATTATTGATCTGTGTTGTACTACTTTCATGTTATCACTGTGAAGCTGCTTTGATACAATCTGTATTGTGAAAAGCGCTATATAAATAAATGTGACTTGACTACTACTGTACAGCATGATATCATCATTTTATGGAAAGATATCAAAAAAACTACTCCCAAATAATGAATTTAAGCATTTTTATTTGAAAAGTCATTGATTTGGCTCTCAAATTTTCAACAAATTTCTGTGCTCCATTACAACCAGTATATCACCCACTCCTACTTGGTGAGTATAAGGAGTAGACACTGGACACAGGGTAGTCTTTTAAGCTGTCACTCACCTTGCATTGCCTTGTACTGCATAGGTGTAATATGCTCAAAGCCAGGAGGCGGTACATCCCAGTACTTCTTAATTTTCTTCTTTTTCTCCCGTTGAGGTGAACGGCTGATTTACAGGAAGGCAGAGAAAAAGAAAAAAAAAAAAAACAAGGTGAACTTATTTTTATCTAACTGGTATATTACATATTCAACAATATGATTACTCATTTATTTATCTAAAAGAGCCATTTCATTTAGCTAAATTATTCCTTTAAATCCAAAAGGATAGTACAATTAAAACCACAATAAAAAAAAAAAAATTGTGAAATAAGAAGAATCTGAAACCATTACAGTTGGCACTAATTAAAAATATTTTACCTAGCGTAACAAGACGAGGATTTTAACGCAGAAATAAGAATTAATTCATCTCACAAACTCCTTCAAAGTCAAAACACTAGCCAGGTGGATTTGTAAGATGTAAACAAATGGGAAAAACTGAGTCAGCCCATCTGCAGTATTACCTGACGTTTTCTTGGGGATGGTTCTGAATTTGATCACTGAAATGACATTTAAGAACAGGGTTTGACATGTAGCTACTTTACAGTAGCTTAAACCACAGTACATAAACTGAATGAGGTTTAAGAGCAAGACTAACGATTTTACCGTGCACCGATTACATTCTTGATTACAGTGCACTTAAAACGAACTACTTCAATTTTAAATTCAGCTTAAACTGCGTAAATCAACAAGCAAGCATAATTAAAAGGGCATGAATTGACTCGTATCGTAATAGCAACATCGATTTCAACAGGGCTCAACAATAAGAATAGATTGCAGAAAACCAGATATTTAAATATGCATGTACATCAACTGGCCCAAAGCTCTCACTCTGCACCCTCTTTATTGTTGAGCCTTGAACAATGATGACAGCCACGTCACAACATTCCCTCTCGCACCTGCGTCTATGGCGGCGGTCCTTGCTGTCGCTGCGGCGTTCCCTGCTTCTTCTCTCTCTGCTCCTCCTCTTCCTCTCTCGACTGCGGCTGCGTGAAGGGCTGCGGCGCCGGTGCCGGTTCTCTTTGTCCCGCTCTGAGACAGAAGAAACAAATGAAAAATATGAGCATCCCAAAAAATGAGACAAAGCCATAGGCTCCTGAAGCAAACCAGTAGGGATGCTCCTAACAGGATTTTTGCAGCGGATACCCACAACCCATTTCTTGTCATAATGATCGGCCGATACCAATCATTCAAGCTTTATACAAGTGATATGTACACTCTCTATTGACTCTCTAAAACGTTTTTTTTCCCCAGCTAAAAGTAATGCCACAGATGTTGCCATGGTTATATTGTTTACAGTGATGATGTATATTGTTTTAATTGAGAATCAAATAAATAATCACAACAAATATTCTTTTTACAATAAACACTGAATTGGCCTTTAATAGCAGGGCAAAAAAAAACAAAAAAAACAATCCTGTCAACTACATCTGGGCCAAATTTTGTTGATCTCAAAGCAATCAAAAGTTTTGGCATTTGGAACCATGGTAGGCTTTTTATCAAAAATCTCTCCAAACAAGTGATCTGATTGTTTTACTGAACATACAAACTACTTACTAGGGCTGAATTTGGAATATTTTTAGAATGAAAAAAAGAAAAGAAATGCAAAAACTGTGCATTAAAAATGTGTGTCAAAAGCACACACTAGACAAAAAACAAACAAACAAACAAAAAAAACACGTCAGTTACATCATCATCATCATGATGATGTAACTGACGTGTTTTTTTTTTTTTTTTTTTTTTTTAACTTTTCCAGTACAGCACGATGCGGCTGCGTTGTTAATTTGTGGAAAAACAGAATGAGGACTCGGGAGTCAGAGAGAATCGGTCAGAGCATTTCATTTCAATAAAAGATGCAAAGCCTGATTTGGTGTAGATTTGCTTATCGCTTTATGGGATAGTTAACCCAAAAACTCAATTTACTCATCCTCAAGTCATCCAAGGTGTATATAACATTCTTCTTTTGGACAAATACAATCGGAGTTATATAAAAAAATATATACATCATGATTCTTCCAAGCTTTATAATGGCAGTGAATGGCCGTTTCAGATTTGAAGTCCATCAAAGTGCATCCATCCATCCATGATCCCCCAGAGCAGTGAGGAGAACCTTTATCATGGATGGATGTACTTTGATGGACTTCAAAACTGAAACTGAAAAACTCATTGTATTCCTGTGAAAGAATGTCATATACACCTAGGATGGCTTGGGGGTGAGTAAATCATGGGGTAATTTTCATTTTTGGGTAAAAAATCCCTTTAGGACAATACAGTACTTTTATCTTCTAACATTAAGTATTACCTTTAGAATGAATTTTGTTTGTAATATTTAAGAAAGAAATTCGAATTTAGCTTCTCAGCCATTTTGACAGCCCTACTACTTAAATGTGTAAATGCCACAATAAAGCATAAAAAATTATAACTACATAGATTAAGTAACAAATAATGAGATCCTGGTGGATGACTGATGATCTCCCAGTGGTGTTTTAGCTGTGCGCTCCTATTCTATGGCGCATGGTAAATTAAGGCCTGTGAATTAAACCAATCCAAGCGCGCTCCAGCTGTAAAACAGTGTCCGATTGGTCTCCTCTACACATCATCCCTACCCACTATACCCTCCCACCATGCCCGAGATCCAGCTTCCATTGGTTGAACTTTCATCATGATGGCGATGCAAATAGATCACGGAAGTCCTATAGCTTTAGCCGAGCAGCATGTCAAGTCACTCAGTGAGGATTTTATCAAGAATGACGCATCATGCTATGAATAAAGGCCTGTTCACACCAGGACGAATTTCGCGTGTTTAACGCCTCGTGACTAAACAAAGGGCGCCAATGTGAGTGTGCACTAGGGCTGCAACGATTAGTCGACATTGACAATAAAAAATTGTCGACAAATATGGCGCTTTGGCGCTAGAGTGTAATGCAGCCCTTTACAAATCCAAGTGTGGTAAAAGAAAAAACAGAGCGAATTATGACGGAGTACAAACGAATCCGAACTAGCAAGGTTTTTACAAAACTTAAAACCAACAATGCTGTCATGTGCAATCCATGCAAGGCAGAACTTGCTTTTCACGGCAGCACCACATGCATGTTGGAGCACTTAAAGAAAAAACATCCAAAAGAGGAGCCGGTGAGAACTGAGGCCCCGTCCACACTACTGCGTTTTCGTTTAAAAACGGAGAATTAAAACGAATACGATCTCCGTCCACACCAGCGTTTTATCTGCGTATTAGAAACGATCTCCGTCCACATTAAAACGACTGAAAATGCGGATCACGTGACCATTCACCAACACTGGGCATGCGCATGCCGGTGTAAACAGTGATTGACGAATCAGGGAAGGATACGTTATGACTGATAACACCCAATCATAGAGCCAAGCGTCAGCGTTTCTGAAGTTCTCAGTTTTGTATGGTTTGGTCCCGTCCACACTAAAACGCCCTCCGGAGAGTCAAAACGCAAAAAGCAGCTCCAGCGTTTCTAAACTTCTCCGTTTTAGGTCTTCGTTTTTCCCGTTTTAGTGTGGACGGGAGGTGCAAACGTAGCAAAAGGTCTCCGTTTTTAAACGAAAACGCAGTAGTGTGGACGGGGCCTGAGTGTTCTCCAGCTGGAGCCAACTAACTGTAGTGGTAACGCATCTCTTTATTAGATCATGCAATACTATTAATAGTAATAATATCATCAATAATAATATAATTACAGTAATGTAATGATTTATTTTGCATAGAATAAAGCTTGATTGAGCTTAGGAGTCAGGGCTGTTTTATTATTGTAACACTATTTGGTATTATAGTCTTATTACTTGCCTGTATTTTGTTCCATAATCATGAAGACTTACAAAAGAAGATATTAGGAATAATATAATAGCAGTTACTTTCTCTTTTTTTTTATTCTGTAAATTAAAAGGTGAATGAGAACATCTCTGTCAGCTCAATTCTCATGTAAAAAAAAACTATTGTAATTTTATATCCATAATAATGGTTTGCACTTTGCAGAGTAATATTTTACCCTTTTTGTGTCCTGAAGTAATGACCCTTTTTCTGTTTCAGTTCTATGAAAAGCAGTGGGGTTATTAAACAATGCTTAGAGCGCATTTGTGTGTGATTTAAGTTAAACTTAAAGAGAATGACCTGTTTAGTTGGCTCTAAGTTCATTAAAACCACTATTTCAAAAGCTGAACTGATTTTCTTTTTTTATATTAGAACTCAATTAACTCAATTATTATATTATTAATGTTTTAACTAATTGAAAAAAAGCTGAATAATTGTTCCAAACTTAATGATTTGCTGGCAAAATAATCGATTAGTCGATTAATCGTTCTAATAATCGTTAAATTCATCGATCATCAAAATAATCGTTTGTTGCAGCTCTAGTGTGCACACCGACGCGTAAAAGCGTCATTAAAAAAAAAAAAAAAAAAAACACCTTGGTTTCAGTTTTAGTTTGACGCACAGCGTCAAAAACTATTCAACCAATGAGATTGGCGCTTCTGAAGTTACAGTAAAACACAACTTGGGGGCGCTCAAACACAAAATGGTCTTGCCGAGGCAAGATGAATGTAGAGCTGCTCTTCTCGTTGGTGCTGTGAATTTGCATGTTCACTCGCTCATCGTCAGCGAAAATCGATTGGGTGTGAACACAAAAAACGAAAAATGCGCGCTGATATTCGTCCCGGTCTGTACAGGCCTTAAAGATGTGATTCACAAGATTCACAAATTTACAAAGCAAAATAAAAAAAGAAGGCACAAAAGTCTAATCTGTATACTGTTCACATGCGCATTGGCAGCAACTTTCATATGAATACTTATAGTTTGTTCACGAATTGATTACTAGTTTGATTACTGATTGGTCGCTAATTGAGACCTATTCATCAAATTTTGATCGGTCGGCCAAATTTTGTGACTCCCGATCGAGTCAAAGTATGGAAAGAGGAAGGAACAAGAAGAGAAAGCCCATTCCAGCTGCAGAATGAAAGATTTGACACACTATTATGTAGAGTTTCACAGTGAGTCTCTAGGGGAAAAAGGAAGATTAGAGGTAAAGGAAAGAGACAGGTTGTGTGTGCTTTTCTGCACCTCATTATTGGATACCCACCATGACCGTTTAGACTGTCACCTGTGCGGAAGAAACAAGAGGGGTTACAAAAGGGAAAACAAAAGTTATTGCAACTCAATTTTACTTACAAACAGAATACAGTGTGTGGAGCTGTAAAATTGATTAATCGCGATCAATCGCATCTAACATAAAAGTCAGTGTTTACAATATATGTGTGTATTATTTTATTATCTCCATGGATAAACTTAGGTTATTAAAACCAGTTAATTATTGACAATAAGTTTAATCGATTGTGCATTTTAATTATAGACACTCATGGTTGAGTTTGTTACAGTGTTTATTTTTAAGAGCATCAACCTGTATTTATAATTTCTGTATGCAAATATGCTTAAGCAGAGTCATTCAGATTGGCTTCTGAAAGTTGTGGTCAAGCTTAACCATATTTGCATACAGAGATTATAAATACAGGTTAACGCTCTAAAACATACCTTGAATGTATACAATTAATGCACATTGATTAAACTCATTGTCAATAATTAACAGGTTTTAATTACCCAAGTTTACACACAAATATATGTGTGTGTGTATATATGCACACAGACATGCACACACAAAAATATACACTATATATATATATATATATATATGAAGGGCTGGGCAACGATTAATTGCATCCAAAATAAAAGTGTGTATAATTTCGCATCTATAAATACCCACACATGCATGTATATATTTAAACATAATTTATATTAAATATAAATCTTAATATTGTATATATTAATAACACATTTTTCTTAAATATATACATGCACGTGTGTGATTTTTTTTTTATACAAAATAATTACAAACAGTACAAACACACATATATTATGTAAACACAAACTTTTATTTTGGATGCGATTAATCATTGCCCAGCCCTAATATATATATATATATTACATACACATATATTATGTAATGTAAACATACTTTTATGTTAAATGTGATTAATCGTCATTAATCGATTTTACAGCCCTAACAGAATGTGTCAATTGTGACAGGTGATCTGACAACCATGTAGACTAGAAATGATACAAAACCTGCAGTTACAAGCTGATCATAAGTTATATATAAAACAATAAATTCAAAGCTTTTAATGAGATGCCAATTCTGGGACAATCACCACAATAAATTCAAGTAAGCTCTGAGCTGCTGATTTCAAATATAAAACTTTCTCAGCAGTTATTGTAGAGGTGTGTGTGTGTTTTTTATATTATTATTATGATTTTAAAATTCATGTACTACATTAGTAAGACTTAAAGCATGCAATGGAACTTGCAAGTGTTTTTTCTTCCCTATTGTGAGATCTGAAATGGCTTCATGAAAATGTTTAGGTCTTGATTCTCGTGTGACAGATGGTCCCGCCCTCGCACCAGTAAACACGTCATCAGAAAACCGATGTCGTTTCAAGTGGGAGGGGGGGATGTTGCTAATTTGATAAGATTACATGGGCTCACGAATTAAAAAAAAAAAAAAAAGAAATGCTATGCATGGATAAATAATTTATAACACTGCAATATTCCATACATTTTATTTCATGTTGACTAAGTACATTGAACTTTTCTTGACACATTTTTATCCAAACAAAGGGAGTTGTTTCACCAAATACAGAATAATATAAACAGTATCATGTGAGTAAATATAAACAATTATCAAATGTTTATGCATAATTACAGCATTCTAGATCTATTTTCTTCAATAAAGCATGAAAAAAAATGTTTCAAGTGCTGAGTGCGTTTAATTACCGTAAGCATCAATAGGTTTTGTTATTAAGATAATATGATGCTATGCAAGTGATTACCGTTCAAGGCAGGCAGTGGTGCACATTTATACTCACCTTGTTTGTTTTCAGATAGCTGTCTCTCGAATTCATCAAAATCAGACATCCTGGTGTTTTGATCTAACCCAGACTCTGAAACTTCAGTTAACACGCTCTTTCGCTTTTAAAATAGCCCTCTCTTTGTCACACGCAATTTCAAGGGACGGACTATAAAAATGCAGATGTTTTAAAATGTCACACCAGCATATATAGTTTCCAAAAATGCACTTAAATTCGTGGAGAGAAAAATACACGCTTTGCTTTAGAGGGTTGTTAGCTGCTAATGCTAACTCGAACCACCGCAGGGTGAAAATGGAAGGCTCGGGTCGGCAATACAGATGATTAAACTCTTTAGCTAGTAATATTTGCTCTTTTAGACAGTCTCTTTGATAGTCAAATGCTGTAAGTTGTCATTATTAACTGTGTTGAAGTCTAACCCGTCTCGGCTGAGGAAGCTAACCGCTCATTCCGCGTTGGCGGATGCTGATCGTTTCTTCACAGACCGTAAAGTCACTCTGAATAAGGGAAATGAAGCTGTGCGCCCCTATTGACCAGGAGTAAAAGTTGTTTTGTTTCCATTTTCATTCCAACCTCCATCAATCTTCCACTTTGCAGTTTAGCTTGGTAACCAACAGTCCTGTTTTCACGTCCTGTCCTGGTTGTTTTTAATAAAGTGATGAAAATGCACTGGTTTTCAAAAAACCGCTGAGAAAGATCAGCTCTACAGCAAAATATAGATGAGAAAACAAGGAGGATGAAGAAGAAAATCAGGATCTTTTATCTATAATTTTAATTATTTATGTTTATTTTTCTAATACAGAAGAGACATCATTTCTATCATTATTTTTTAAACCAGTCATAATAAAACATGTTGAGTAACCTCTGAGAAGCCTGTCTGAATTTGTGTCTTTTAATATAACAACATTCTATCCATACAGAGGAGGCATAGTTTACTTTAAATGTGAAATTAATAAGGTATCTTACTCGAGTTAACTTCGAGTATCACTTGAGAATCTGCTTTGCCGGGCCGATTTTCCTGGTTTTTGATAATCAAAATATGGTCACCCTAGTTTAGCTTTGATTAGACGTGCAATTTTCTCTTTAAAAAGAGTGAAGGCTATTTATTGCTGTAAATGACTGTAAGATACGCTCTTTCATACAATATTGGAGAGATGTTTAATAACAGCAGGGTACAGTTTTGAAATAAAGTCATAAGACAAAAATAATAGATCATCACAACAACAAAACACCATTTAAGCCATTAAACGGATGTTGCAAAGTTGTTAGCATTAGCTTTAATATAATACAGGCACAACAAAGGAGGGTTATGAACTAGTTAACAGAGTAATGAACAAGCCCTTTTCTCATAAATTATATTTTAAATCAATAAACAATCTTTGAAATTTATGGATTGCTTTATAATCTTCTGAGTCACATTGGCACCCAAAAGTGTACAAAATTGCACAAATGTAAAGAAAGTTTCTGATATCAAATACCTTGTGTATATATACATAATTAACTTTACCCATTTGTCAATTACAGAAACAATTAGTACTGATTTTAATAAGGCATCAACACATTTCTTCCCAAGAGATTTCAATGATTAACAGATGCAGAACACAGCATAGCTACTATTCTGTTTTTGCTACCATTTGATAGCAAAACGTATTAGTAAGGAAAAGTTGAAGAAAGAAAGAATGAAGATTTAGGAACGCCATTTTTTTTTTTAGATGGTTGCAGGCTGAGAATTTTATTTGTATTCAATAATCTTTATCCTGACTCATATTGTCCAAATGTGATCACAAGGGTCAGGATATTAAAGAGGTACCTTATGTGATCCAACTTATCAACTCAAACAAGACAAGTCCTTTATATTTAAGGGGTGAGATTTTCTAACAGAAAAACTAAATAAAGACAGACAACCTTTTAAATACAGTGGCTGACTAATTACCTCACAAATGTTCTTCTCCCTTTTGTTTTCACCAAAAACTTTCTCTTAAACTTTCAAAACTGTACATTATTGAACCAAATGCTTACTCAACCTGCAATTCTCATACTGAATAATTACCAACATGTACAGGGACAGACTGTGGTTTGGACAACGCTTGGGTGGGGGGTGGGGGTGGGGGGGCAATATTCAGTGCCTGAACCTGTATGAAATGGGCAGCAAGAAGTTGTTCTTCTTCAAGGCCTGCACCTTAGCGTGAGCGTCCTCATCAAGAGCTTTATAGCAGCGCCTCGCATAATCCAGAAGCTTCTCTTTGGACGAATCAAACTCCCCAACCTCAGATACCTTCTCAGGAGCGACCAAAAGCATTTCAGCTATAGGAGTGGTGGAGGCCACTGTGTTTCGGTCAACCCCATGGACCTGGAATGCTCTAGACATGCTCTTCAACTTCTGATAAGTCACAAGGATCTTATTGTAGCGAAGCAGAACACCGGCAGGGTCTTTGACTGCAAACAAAGTTGTCATAATTATCAAACGTCTGTTTGGAAATATAGAGAGTTGCTTTAAAGAATTAAGAGACTTTCTTACCTCTTTGTCTTTCCATGCTTCGCGCAAAGCGAAAAACGCGTCGTCTTTTCACTCTCGTCTGGCCACTCAGCCTGCCTGAACGGTTCTTCTGTAAGCTTTTATTATCTGAATCATCACCATCGTCATCTGTAACAACCTGCTCCTCCACATAATCTTCCTCCGCTGTATACTCTTCCTCCTCTATCACCTCCTCTGCTTCTTGATCTGAGTTGAACAACAAAAAGTTATAAAAAAAAATATATATAATATGTGTGTGTGTATATATATATATTTTTTTTTGTGTGCGTGTATATATATATATATATATATATATATATATATATATACACACACACACACACACACACACACACACACACACATACATACATACATATATATACACACACACAATTTTCTCATTTATTTTTCCAATTTAAAATCAAATTAGTACAGACCAGGGCTATTATCTATGGAAGCTTGTTTCCGCCACTGAATATAAAAATAAAATAAATAATTGTGACTTTTTATCTCACAATTCTGACTTTTTTCTCACAATTGCGAGTTTATATCTCGCATTATATCTTAGAATTGCGAGATAAAGTCAGAATTGCGTGATATAAAGTCACAATTGCGGGATATAAAGTCGCAATTCTGAGAAAAAAAGACAGAAGTGCGACATTTTAGCTCACAATTCTGACTTTTTTTCCTCACAATTGCGAGTTTACATCTCGCAATTCTGACTTTAACACATAATTGCAAAGTCTATATGTCGAAATTCTGACATTTTTTCTCAGAATTGTGAGATATAAACTCGCATAACTCGCAATTGCGACTTATCAGGCCAATTCTAAGGGGAAAAAAAAACTTTTTTCTCCCTCAAAATAGTTTAAATCTCACAATTCTGAGTTTATAACACGCAATTGCGACTTTATATCTAGCAACTGACTTTATAACTCCCAATTCTGACTTTATATCTCGCAATTGCGACTTTATATCACGCAATTCTGACTTTATATCTCGCAATTCTGACTTTCCATCTCGCAATTCTGAGAAATAATGTCAGAATTGCGAGAAGTAAACTTGCAATTGTGAGAAAAAAAGTCAGAATTGTGAGATAAAGACGCAATTACCTTTTATATTTTTCATTCTATGGCAGAAACAAGCTTCCATAATTATCTTTAAAACTAAAACCAGAAAAAAAAACATTTTTATGACTTTAAAAATAAAATAGACAAACTATATTAAAATAAAAAATATAAATAAAACCTTCAACTTATTTCATTTCTGCAAAGAAAATGGTGTCAGGAAAAAAAATAAATATATTTCAATGCTTTTGCATTCCCTCACAAAACTTTTCTATTCCCCTGAGAAACTCTCGAAAAACATTTGTGTTGTTTGTGGTAAAATGCAAAGTTTCTCAAAGAAATGTAAAAATGTTGCAAGCGAAAGCACATTTTCTTTCAAGCGAAAACATTTGCGAGAGAAATAATTTTTCCTCCCATCTCATATTTTTTCCCTACACCATGTCCCTTTAGGGGTACCATCGATTCCAGCTAGTTGCCAAAGCTACATTTCTCATTTTCATTTAGTTTCAGTTGAAGAACTAAAATAACTAAACTGAAACAAAAACTTACATTTTGTTTCATTAACATTTTTAAGTTTTCAAAAAATTTCAAAACTACTAAAACTTTCAAATTAAATTGAAAACAGTAAACGTACAAAATAAAATCCAATTCAATATATGAAGAAAAAAAAATATTACACTAAAATAACACTGTTACACAAGCAGTGAGATCGCAATTGATTGAGATAGGGAAAAGTAGTAGTAAAAGCTTATTAGCTGTGTTTTCTGCTGCGCTTCTGGTAGCGTGCAGGGATTTTTCCAGAGCGTGTCATCATGGGTGATGAAGGAGTGGGTGTTTTCCGGGAGGAGGGCTTCAGATTGGTGGGCTGCTTCTGACTGGTGTGTTGCTGCAGGGCCTCGGCTTCAGTTTCTTACATAAAAGATTAGAATAAAGATAACACTAAATCATAAAACAGGATTATTACATTACAAGACACTACTTTCCACAAGTACAATTTAAAACAACCTTTCCCCATTGAGCCATTGCTCTCCTGACTCTTGGTGTTGAAAATGAATCGGTCTAGTTGGCAGCGCAGGAAGTCCCTCTCCTCCTCCAGATCTTCGATGCGTTTTTGGAGCCAGGAGTTCTTTTCCAGAGAAATCTGCAGTTGTGCTCGGAGGCTGGTAATCAGAAAGTACGGACTGCACGGAAGAACCTGACCTGAGGCCGACTCTACAGAAGCATTGATTTGTATAACATAATAAAGTGGAGGTCTCAATTGTGATAATCAAACATGTTACTCTGTCACAACACGGATGAAGTTAATACCATCGAAGGTGTGGTCACTTTGATTATAGAAACCAGACTCGTCCAGGGTGTTGTCCTCACAGGGGATGGAGATTTCATACCCATCTTCGTTCTTCAAACCTTTAAACAGGATCAAGACAAATAGGAATATTTTGAGGAATATTTATTTTACGTATACCGTCTGTTTGCTAAACTGTTATAAAGAGTTTATTGACTTACATTAGATGCCAACATAATTTCATATGACTTTTTTGATTATATAAAAAAAAGCAACTGCACATTTGTGTCTTTGAAAACAACTTTTCACTCATTGAATGTGAGCTCCATATTCTCCCTGTTACGCTTTTTGAATCATAAAAGCCTGATATCAAGTATAATACAAACATGTATGCAAAGTTTTTTTTTTTTTTTTTTTAAGAGTTTTCAGTCTATACATTATTTATGTCAGGCTTTAGAGGGTTAAAACAGCAATAATCGCTTATTAATTTGTCAAACAGGTGTGTGAAACATAGGCTAATAGTCTAACGTTAGCTACAATAAACCAGCTCCACGTCCCAAAGTCGACGTATACCATCTCAAACTGGATTTACCAAAAGAAAAGGGATTTTATCCAGTTTAAAAGCTTTTAAAAACTAATTTAGTCTGACCTCTGCAGTTCTCCGTGCTTCTCTGTGCCTCAGTCATGATTCAGGTGACATGAATCTGGCTAATACACTCGCAAAACGAACTTACAACCAAACATAAACTCTCTCAAAAACACGAATCCAAATGCTCTCATCACAAAACCGATACTACTAAACTTTCCAAAGAGCAGAAATGCATGACACAGCACAGGGCGTGCTGCAATTAATAACAACCAAGGACGACTAAGTAGTTAATTAGGCATTACCATTAACAAGTAGTTAATTAAACAGTAGTTAATTTGCTTGTGTCTCTCTCGTCCTGTCAAACAGGGCAACGGATGACCGTTTCATACATTACATGTTTCTGAAAATAAAAGGCATGTAAGTATATTTAAATTAACTTTGGATATATTAATTTGTATAATTAGTTCCACTTAACTGCACAATACATTAAGCGCATGTGAGGGTTAATAAACTTGTGTTTTAAAAAATATACAACTTCAAGGACCTCGTTTGCCAAACCGCAGACGTGATTGAAGCGTCCGCCTGTTGATTGGCTCTTTTTTTGTTGTTGTGCGTCTGTGTTGATTGCCACATCATAAGGATTGACTGACTGAACCATTGTCTGTGGAGCGAGATTATCCGTATCACTTAAAAATCATATGTATGGTGCGCTGAAAGTCTACCTATTTTTTTTTAATTTTTATTTTATTTATACAGTAATAACAAATACAAATCAAGACAGTAATATACATGACAACAATACAGAGGGTTACATTCCATAAACATAACATTAAACAAGCTTACATGATTGATACCATTGCATTTCAGAGTCTTACATGCAGTAACGTTTTTAGAGTTCTTTAGATCAAATGTACAAGAGATAGTTAATATTGTACAGGCTAGTAGTTGTATTTTTCAGTATAGATAGTGCGGTCCATTACAATGTTAACATAGTTCCCCCAATTGTTGTTATTTACTGGCACTGTAAATTTATAATACACAAAAGGGATCTCAATCAAACAGTGTAAGTCGATGTGATGAAAGAAAGAAAAAAAAATGTTTGAAATGGCCGATTCCGGTGGTGTCAAATATCAACATGCCTGGCTGGGAGGGTCCGGAAGCAGCTTCACACAGGTAGTCTGCTCCATACCTGACTCATACACCTGAAAAGAGATGAAATATTTCATATTCGTGAAGTGAAGATACCGAGAATTTAAGGTCAGTTTTGAATAATGTTCGATCCACGTCTTCTGTGTTTGTTAACTGTTTCTGAGTAGCCTACAACTCTCCATTGTTTAGTGTTAATCACACGTGATATTTCTGGGAACATAAAAAAACATGGACGAAAGTTGTTGCAGGTAGCCTATGTTCAGTTGGTCGCTTTAAAGTTAATAGTTTAGACTGGGTTGAGGGTCTAGATTTTACACGACTGGACATCAAGTGGACATATGAAGCAAGAAACACAATTTCTGTATCTGGCTTCATTTCGCTTAGTGTGTCAACCTTTTATAATTTGCACGCACTGTGCAGTTTTACACTGTTATTAAATTTTATTACATTTTGTTTATAAATGCCTTAATTTATATGTTACAATAATATGGTTTTTTTTTTGTATATTTGTCTCCAACAGTTCCCATGGCACGTCTCAAACACTGCAAAGTGGCCCTGGTCTTTGCTGTTATTTTCGACCTTTTTGGCTTTACGTCCCTGTTTTTGGGGCTGTTTGTGCCATTGGAAATGAAGGGGAGAGATTTTGGGGACCTTCTTGTCTACACTGGGGCTGTCTTGGTACTGATGTCACTTGGTGGTTGGGTCATGTGGTATAGTGGCAACATTGAGGGTATGCCAAATCAAAAGGATCTGAGCGGAATTGGCAATGTTGTGGATCGCTTGGCCCGAAACCTCAGTAGGAAAATATACAGGCCTACACTTCGAGTTCACAGAGGACCCTGACTTTTTGACAGTGATGCTGTTGACGTTTTATTACTAATTTATATATATATATATATATATATATATATATATATAAAGACTCAATTTGTTTTTCTCCATTTGGACATGGAGATTCAAAGTAAAAAATATATATATCCTGAGCTTACACCTTGCTTAGGTAAATAGCAGTTATAGATAAGTGAATAAAATTTCCTCTATTGTACTTTTTATATAAAGATGATTTAATATAATACTACAATTGTAGTCTATTCAGTAACTGTATACAAAGGTCAGAAAGAATGTTACTACACAAATTGTTACAAGAAATTCAACTTTACCAAAGTGTTAACATGTATGCATTGTATTTTTTAACATTTATTATCTGTTGTTTTATCAATTGATGGCCAAGAGCTGTGTTTATTCTCTGTAAATATTCTTATTCTAAAGAAAAAATGTTAATTGAACATGTACACACAATGTATCTTGATTGATATTTGGGCAAATTGTCAGTATTGTTTACACTGTATAAAAATATATAATCCATAGTTTTGCTTTAAGTAAGCAATTTTCAACTTTTTTATGTTATACAAGATTCAACTCATTTTTTTGAAGTCAGTTTAATTTAATTTACGTCGAAATGACTTAAACATTCAAATTGATTGTTCTTCAAAATTTAAGGCAGCAACTTTTTGCTACAGTGTATGTTAAATGCAAATCGTGATCAGTGCACAATCATTTGCATTACATCATATGATCTCTAGGTGGAGACAGACATAAACATTTCATGATATGACAAAAGTTACTAGTGGTGGTTATGGCTTTTGCATGGCTAAAAATATCAGTTTTGACTAATTAAAAGCGTGTTTAGTAAATGTTTTGAATTGCTTTCCATAAAATGACAGACAAAATGAATTTACAAAAATAAATATAAAAAATATCAAACAAAAACAATTTTAATTGAATCAATTTAAGACTCCATTCAAGTATCAATCAAGTAGATCAACTTTCTTGTCTGCCTCTTAAGTTTTTCCAGTAAACAAAAAAAGAAGCTTACGGTTAGTCTAAGACAAAAAAAAAAACAGTGGGCTTTATTTAGATCTAGGGTATTTTCCTGTTTTGCACTTGATCTCTGAGGGCTTTTCCTGTTTTAAGCCTTCTAAATTGGATTGGGCCTTATTAGCACATGTGGTCTAAAAGAGGCATATTCTGTGTGGTACACGCTGGAGTGATAAGGAAGATTTGCACTTGATGTGAGAAAAGTAAGCCCACTCTTTGGAAAAAGAGATATAAATACAAATCAATGGTAGGCATGCAATTTTCATAGTGCTAAATTAGTACATTGGTGTAATGTAAGAGCAAACAAGTTGTGAAAAAACAATTGTCTTGGATGAGCTGGAAATCGTTTGTAGATACAGTATACCCAAAGGTCAAATAACCACCTCCTTTCAAAAAGATTTGAAACTGTGAGATTAAACATCTTCAGAAATCTTTTGTATGGATTTTAATGAATTTTATGGCCAGTTTTTGGGCAAACGCCCTAGTAAGAAGAGAACCCGGGTGATTGCATGCTGTACCATTTTGTAAGGAAATCCTGCTTGCTATTCTTGGGTCTCCATATCAGCTAAAGAAAATGACATGCACAATAATTATAATTTATATAGTTTTAAACTGACTAATTTTTCACAATCTCATTTCATAGAGATTCTGCTATTTTGACAGTTTCCATGTTATGTTTACACCTTTACACTGTAAAAAAATGATATGATTAAAAAATTATGACATTTATGACAACTTTATTTTTGACAAGTTATACAAGATTCAATTCGTTTAAAGTCAGTTTAATGTAATTTAAGTTGAAATGACTTAAACATTCAGAATAACTTAAACATTTAAAGCTACAATATGTATTTTTTTCACTGCTAGGGGTTGCTAACCTCTTACAATAACAAATGAGTAGATTGATGACGCAGTGATGAGCGGAATCATGGAACTTGTCGCCATGCCGATGTATCTAATGTTTATGGATGAGTGAAAAAATTAATGTTTAGCATGACTGCGAGATTTTTAATGAGAGACAGACATCAGCGCCACACGTATAGGAATGAGGACATTTAATTCTACCAAACTACCCGTAAGTGCTGAATTACTACTCACACAGGTCAGTTTATTTGACGAATTAAACTTGTTGTGAGGTAACGCAGCACTAAATCGAAGTTTGCCGCGAAGCTGCCAGCATCTCGAAAACATTAGTTTAGTTCTCCTTTTGTCCCAAAGTCTGCTTTCCATAATCCATAATGTTTGAACGAAACAACAACAGCTATACATGCCGCTAAACATTACTGTTAAGAAGGTTTCAGCCAATCAGAGAGTCGTTTATTGAATGACGTTAGTCAGTGCCTAGTCAGTAGAGACGAACGAAATATGAATGCTGATGCAGAAGACTAATAGCTCAATCGTTCCTTCAGAAGTGGTTTATGTGAGTGAGTTAATGACAAAATGTAAGTTGTTTATTTCCTTTTATCTTATGATGCTATATGCGTTTAAGCAGATTTGTGTACTTTACTGAGTTATCACGAGCTTGTTTGCGCACCATCGCGGCAGCTCGCGTTAGCGCCTAAGCGCCAAAATTCATCCTTTAAGTTTAAGTAATGCATGAGTACTTTCATAGTGTAAGATATCTGGATGGTGATTTATATGGTTATTTGCTTATATTTGCGTAAATATTGTGTTATGTGCTGTTTCATATACGTTACTGCCCGAAATGACACTGTAATGGCGTCCTACATAACAACTAATTCCATGTGCGTCCCTTGAGCGCCACCTTGTGGATTATCTAGGAACTTCAATAATGTTACCAGTTCTATTGCCTTGATGAATGTTATTGATTTAGCTGTATCTCTAATATTATTGTTATTCTGTATTATTTTCAGATCACTTACTGTTACCACTCACTGTTCCTATTCAACTTGAATCAAGAGTAAACTACAAACTTTGCTGCAAACTCTGAGTCGTATGTGTTCTTACCGACACACCAGTGCGGATACAAATCCACCTACTCCAGTAATATACAGTCCTTAATTAAACCTCAAAAACATTTGGTCCTTCGAGCCGGAGTGTGTGTTTACACTGGACTAATGATGTCAGAGGACCAGAATGCAGAGTATCAAGTTGAAGGAGCACGCCCTAGACGTATAGTTCGTCAACCAGCCTACTTACAAGATTTCGAATTACAGTATGCTGGACTGCCTAGAGCTAATGTCCTTCT